GTGGGAGACTCCATTCCTTTATGTTCTATAATATTTTTTGTATCAATTCAGAATTTATGTTAAGATTATTTGCAGAAATAAAGATGTCGAGGTTAATTATTGTTATAACCATTTATGTATCGTTTGTACAAATATTGAATTTGTAAACTTCATTTTGATCTTAATAAAGAATTAAGTTAGATCAGTTGGAGATCTACATGATTCACAAATCATATTATATGAAATTTTCATGTCACTCATCCATATTGATCTATGTCATTAAGTACATTGATGTGGTGGTCATCAGAGTTCTATCACGTTATACATTAGTGATGATAGCCACAATGGTCCCAATATAGATGTATAAGGTGCACTAGATTGTTGCTAGATACCGTAAAGAGACAAGCAAAAAGTAAATTATTATTTTACCAGGTGATATATAGGTTATATAGTGTCGTGTCCATAGAGATTGGTGTATTGAAATGTCGTTCGACAATCTCTTGTTAATGAGTTTGAGGAATAAATGGGTTAAAAAGAAAGGTATTAATAGAAAATAAATGTATAAAAAGGAAAGACAAACTTATCTGACTCTAATGTACTATACTCGTCACAAACTTAAACCTATCGACTAGTTATACTCAATCTACAATATTCATAAATGTCATCACATGTCAAACACAACACCCATTATATCACCTCGGCGGTGATCTCTCAATCAACCTTAAAAACACAGAAGTCAACCGTGCTCGCTTGTGTTGACGGTCTCTCAGAGCAGCACAAACAACACAGAGGCATTAATCACAGACACCTTAAGTGAATGTCATCTCTAAATCTATCTCTATAATCTATAAACTAACAGATAATCATCCTAGATAAGAAACCAAGTAGTATATGTCTATAGCAACTCAAATCCCTAGCACAGAGCAAAAATCAAGGATAACAATCGATAAAGATTTGTAAAGAAAGTTTTATATAACGCCATGGGCGATAAATATAAATGAGTTCAAAGTAAAAATATATACAAAACCCAACAAAAGAGAAATACATAGATAGAAGAAGAGATGAACCACAAATATTCCAGTTTGTCAGCGTCGGTCGATGAGAAATCCACCTCCAATCATCCATAAGAAAATACCTAGTGTTGTTTTCTAAGCTAATCTATTAAAAATAAGGTTGATGGAATTTGGGAACAAAAACACCCCAAAAACCATAACAAAAGAACTGAAAATGAAGTTATAAAACAAATCTCAGTAGACCATGCTTAGCAGGCTCTCCGCGCTAAGCGGGCTGCCTGATATATACACACTAAACCGCCTAAAATCGCGCTAAGCACGATATCTGCGCTATCTGAGCTCCAAAACTAAGCTTCTACCAAAATGTCAAAACGCAAGCAGTGCGCTACAAAATGCATCGAGTGCACTCGTGCTTAGCGGTATTTTACGCGCTAAGCGGGCTCTCCTGGGCAAAACATCTCAAAACTGGTCTTTTATTCCGAAAACATGCATCCAGAGTCGTGCCTGCAACAAATAACTACAAAATGAATGGAAAAACATCAAACAATACACTATATACACAAAAACACAAAAAAACATAAACTAAACGTATTTACACAAAAGTCGGGTTTATTCAACCGATATTAACAAAAAAGAATCGATAAGTGCAACAAAAAGTATATACAAAAATAGCTATAATTTGCACTTATCAAACTGTCCCCAACTTGAACTTGTTTGTCCTCAAACAAGGCCAAACAACTCAAAGAACCAAAAGTAATCAATCAAAATATCATGAATCAACAAGTTTTGAAAACGAAAAACAAATGTATGGTTCAAATAAAAACACACACGGAAGGTAAATACTTACCACAATCCTACAACGATAACATGCAAACGAAACGAATCCTAAGTACAAAAATCATACTAAACATTCTAAAACAAAGCAAGCTCAAATATGAATCACACTTAGTAAACACTTATCGGTAGATGAAGAACACACAAAGGTGAGGGACAAAAAACACTCATCCACAATCTTGAAAACAATAGAATAAATTATACATTCATCCAGAAATCATATTGAAAATACAAAGGCAAGAATCAAAAGGGCTTTTCAAGGTTGTAATGTGGCTTGATTAACAAACAAGGAATAAGTCCTAAAGCTAATCGAAACAAAAACTTGCCTTAACCTAAGGGAGTGATCAACTCACAAAGACTCAAGCAACACGGTTTCAATCAAACTTCTTCTTCATTACAAATTTCTCACCAATCCCCATCACTTATTAACACAACATTATTCCATACTAATTTTTTCTTTCTTTTTATTTTCACTTATTTTTCACATTTTTTTCTTTTCTTTTTCCTTCTTTTTCTCTTTCTTTCTCAACCTCATAGCAATACACACAAGCACATAAACATTTATCTCCTCAACTTGAATTCAACCAACATCATAATGTGAATACTCCTTACTTTCTAAGGCAAGGTAAAAATTCAAACCATAAATCATAGTTGAGGGTTCAAGAAAACAAAGAATCAATATCCATACAAAAAGATGAACCAAACACTCGAAGACAAGCATTTAGCAAAAACAACATGGAAATCGACAAAAAAGTCAAAAGGGGATACTAATGATCACACACTTACAAGGTGAATTGACTATTTGGCCAAGGTAGTTGTGCCCAAAATTTAAAAAGAATGCCTTAATAATATTCATGATTTCATACAATCAATACAAACAAAAGATTAAACATAATAAAATTCAGTTAAAATAATAATTGTGGCATCCAGCAAATATGAACAATGGAAAGCTTCCTCATATTTATGGGTAAAAAGGAAACTAAAGTGATTCAAGTTATGAGCAAGTAATGCAAAAAGAATGAATGGTATGGTAATTATACAAATGACAAATTTCCTAAATATGTTATGTTATAGAAAGCGATAAACGAGTACCTGGAGAGTACCAACTTCAAAAACTATCATTACCATACATCCGGAAGTTGACACACTCAAAATCGGAAAATCACCAAATGTGACTTCAAGTTATCTAACCAAAATTTGAGTCCAAACAACAAAAGAAAGAATTAAAAATATTACTATTAATTAATATACTATAAAGCCTTGGGTGAAGTGGGAATAAGGAGAGCCAAGTGAGAAATTAAAAAGAATTCACTAGCTCTGCACAGCAGGGCGCGCTAAGCGGCACAGAGCATGCTAAGCGCGCTACACCAGTTGCAGAAAAATAGGGCAACTGGTGCAGCTGCTATGCAAGCTCCACTTACACCTACACAACCTCAAACATACAATATTTACAACATACAAACTTCATCAATCTAAACATGACAAGCTTGCAAAAAAATACAAATTGATATAACAAAACAAACGAGTGAAAGTGAATTAAATAAGTTCACCACACAACATAAATGAACATAAACATGCTTGTTTTACATCGTAAGCTCGACACCTTTATTGTGCGAGCTAGTAACCTCCTCTCGTCATGCCATGGTATTGTCACACCGTGCAAATCTAAAGAAAGTGCCCTAACAAGCATACAACAAACGTTACGAAAACGAGACAATTCACAACAATACGTGAAAACAAAGAAAAATACATATATGCACAAGTATAGAAAGTAAACACAAAACATGTACAAGTAAAAATAGACAAGTTTATGTACACACTCTATACGACATATACATTAATTACAAAACTCAAACAAAGAAACTATTGTAATGCAAAATAATAAACACCATTCTCCGGCAACGACGCCATTTTGCTGGATGCGGTAAAGCGGCAAGCAAAAAGTAAAGTATTATTTTACCGGGTGATATTTAGGTTATATTGTATCGTGTCCATATAGATTGGTGTATTAAAATGTTGTTCAACAAATGTCTTGTTAATGAGTTTGAGTAATAAATGGGTTGAAAGGAAAGGTATCAACAGAAAATAAATGTATAAAAAAGGAAAGACAAACTTATCCGACTCTAATGTATTATACTCGTCACAAACTTAAACCTATCAACCAGTTATACTCAACCTACAATATTCATCAATGTCATCACATGTCAAACACAACACTCACTGTATCACCTCAACAACAATCTCTCAACCATCCTTAACAACACAGAAGTCAATCGTGCTCACTTGCGTCGACGATCTCTCAGAGCGGCACAAACAACACAGAGGCATTAATCACAAACACCCTAAGTGAATGTCAGGTCTAAATCTATCTCTAGAATCCAGAAACTAACAAATAATCATCCTAGATAAGAATCAAAGTAGTATATGTCTATAGCAACTCAAATCCCTAACACAAAGCAAATATCAAGGATAACAATCGACAAAGATTTGTAAAGCAAGTTTTATATAATGCCATGGGCGACAAATATACATGAGTTCAAACTAAAAATACATACAAAAACCAACAAAAGAGAAATACATTGAGAGAAGAGATAAACCATAAATCTTCCAGTTTGTCAGTGTCGGTCGATGAGAAATCCACCTCCAATCATCCATAAGTAAAGTTCTAGTGTTGTTTTCTAAGATAATCTATAAAAAATAAGGTTGATGGAATTTGGGAACAAAAACACCCCAAAACCCATAACAAAAAAGAACTGAAAATGAATTTATAAAATAAATCTCAGCAGACCACGCTTAGCGGGCTCTCTGCGCTAAGCAGGTTGCTTGATATATACACACTAAACCACCTAAAACCGCGTTAAGTGTGATATCCGCGCTAAGCGCGCTCCAAAACTAAGCTTCTTCCAACATGTCAAAACACAAGCAGCGCGCTACAAAATGCGTTGAGTGCACTGCGTTTAGCCTTTTGTGCGCTAAGCGGACTCTCCTGGGTAAAACTTCTCAAAACTGGTCTTTTATTCCGAAAACGCGCATCTGGAGCCGTTTCTTCGGCACCTTTTTCCTCGATGCTCCAGAATGCAAAAAATACGTGTAAAATTAATGGAAAGACATCAAACAGTACACTATATACACAAAACCCCAAATAAACACAAACTATTCCCAATGCTCCTCCGTCTAATGAGTCTTCTCGTTAACAACATCAAAAGAATTCTGATACAGCTTCTCTGTCACTATAAGAGGACCCTCTAACTTAGATATCTTAGCATCTAAAGTATAAGGAGAGTCGTGGATTTTTTTCTCCTCTAGCAAAGAGTTGGCAGCCTTAACCTTTTCCTACAATGAAACAAGCTCTTCCTAGAGAGTGGAGCACCTCAGTTCTATAACTTCAAATTTCTCTTTCCAAGTGTCCATTTATTTTATGATATTTTCTGGAGCCAAGACGTCTCCCCTGTCCGTAGAAACAACAGAAAATAAAGAAGAAGCCTTGAACATACTATGAGTAATTTCATAAACGAGTTCCATTTTCTCTCCATTAGGGAGATTTTGAATGAAGGATAAATATGAAATTGAGACAATAATTGTAGCCTCCTCAGGAGTGCGAGCAAGACAAGAAGAGAAGACGTCTGACATCTGGATGAAGAGAGTTAGGGGTGTTCGTGGTGCGGTTTTGGCGGTTTTGAAGCAAGAAATCACCCGAACTGCAAAAAAGAAAAAAATATGCGGTTCGGTTGACTTTCAAAAATAAATCTGAACCAAACCAAACTAAATCAAACTAATGCGGTTTGGATTGGTTCGGTTGGTTCGGTTTTTTACAAAAAAATATTAAACCATACATACACATATAGAGGAAAATATAATTTTGTGTTTAATTATTCATACATTACCATAAAAAAAATTTATAATTGTCAAAATAAGTTTGTAATTTGATGCATAAAATTGCGTATTATAATTTTATCTAAATCTAAAGAATGATATAGACAAGATTGCATTCTTAAATAAATATTATACAAAGAATACGATAAAATATATTTTATGAAAATAGTATTTATAAATGAATAATATTTTATTTTTTTATGATTTATAAATTAAAATAAATATCATACAAAGTATGATAAAATATACACATAATACATGTTAATTTCTCTAAAGAGTTAAAGAAATATATATTGGTTAGTAAGATTTTATAACATAATGCATTTTTGTTTGGTTTGGTTTGCAAAATACAAACCGCAAACCAAACCGAACCGCGCGGTTCCTTTAGAAAATGACCCAAACACATCCGAACCAAATGCAATTTTTTACGATTTTGGTTTGGTTCGGCTCGATTTTGCGGTTTTTTATTGGGCCGGTTTGGTTTTGAACACCCCTAAAGAGAGTTACCTCCCTCACGACATCATCCCCAGCGACACAAGTTTATTTTTGAGAACCCTCTTCCTGGAGATTGTTGAGCTTCATCCCGAGACCTCTTGGTTGAAACTAGAGGAGGGGACGACTCCCCCATAATAAAAGTGACTGCAACATCTACAAGTTGACATGTGGTGTAGAAGTAGACGTCTTGATAGCCAAGATAGGAGTAGGTGTCAGAGTAGAAGGAGTAGTTGTCAGAGGATGCACCACGACCTGAATGCCTTGAGCGCTTGCAAGGTCATAGAACTTTTTCAGCTTGTTCAACTTTTCCATGTTGTTTGAAAAACACAATCACACGTGTAAAAAAACACTAAGACTCTGCTCTCACAAAATATCTCTTTATTTTCCTCACAACTGACTCCACTCACTATGACATAAACATCAATTCTCCTTTTCCTCACCTCGGTATGTGGAACCTCCTCGAGACTGAACCCTTCCCCATAACCAAGTTTGTGGAACCAAGGTCGTGGTTCCTCCTTCATTGCCACGTCGTCTAGAGAAAGAAAGCTCGACTTGGTGCAGTAGGAATAAACTTCCTGGTTAAAGTGAATTTTGGACCAATGCTTTGAGAACGAACTCATGTAGAATCTAGAAGACTCAGCAAGAAGGTAACACCAAGTGAGATGGGCCTCTAATGTAAGGAGCCTCACCAGCGAGAAGCGTCCTAGAAAATCACCTTAGTCATGTGTAAAGCTATTAAACCATGGATTGATTTGATGGAAGCTAAGGAGCCCTTGATCATAAAAGTTGTCATGGGATGTGTGCCTCAGGTAGTACATATTTAAGAATAACCCAAGGGAAAATTTCTAAGATATATGCTTGACACTAAGATGGAATACCCTCATGAACACCCAGGACTATGAATTTGGTAAAGAGCAACTTGTAAGTGCTTTAGGACAACTACCTTAAAGCTAGAAAAAGGCAACTGCAACCCTAATTTTATGAACAAACATTCATAGAGCGGGATCACACAGCCGTAAAAGGATTTGCATATCCTCTTTTTAGGCCCCACTGCAAGAGCAGACCATTCTAGAGGATCGTCGACCATAATTTCAACAACTTCTACAATAGCCTTAGTGCTTAGAACAGATGAAGTGCCCACTATTTTTGTGTCCATCCAATTATACTCAATCGTCGTTGTCATGTCTTAGAGATCTAAGTAGGAATTCACTTCGGCATCACTAGGCTCACAGTTATCGGTCCTCAGGAAAAGTTGAATATGATCCTTAGTGTACTTTCTACTCTACCGATTGGCTTGTACCTCCTCCTCGATTAAAATGGGAGGGGGCGTTAGGAGCTCGACATGATTCAACTCTCTACCTATGTTTGATAAAAGGCTTCTGATGAGTCGGATGAAGAAGTTCCTTCTTCCAAAGAATTCTCATATATCCTTTCTGAGTCAAAATCATCAGTTAAAGGTATGACTTCTGCTTCCAGGTGATTGTGACCAAGAGAAAGGAGATGAGAATTAGGGGATGTCCCCATTATAGATGCGAATGAAATTTCACCTTTAGAATTGCTCACTTGGTCAACCGTACTATCACTCATCCTGACTAGAAAATAAGAATTGCTCAAGATACAAGCTTGAGTTTAGGATGGTAACTAGTTATATGAGACTGAGCAAATAAGAGAAGAGGAAGAAAGGAAAAGACTTTGAGCAAGACACTGAAGATCGCTTTTATTTTGATCACTTCTATATAATTATAGTAGCCAAAATAGGTTCGATCCATTGGGCCGACCAACAAACCCGATATTTTAATGCAGATTGAATCACAAAAAATCTTAAAAAATATGATCCTATCTTTTTGGTCCCACCAGATCTATATTTTTTATGGGTCAGGTCGGACCGTCCAAACAGATTTTGAATCGACCCATTAAAAAATTATAAAATAATTTTAGTTAATTTTAAGGAAAAAAGATTGAGTTAAAATATGACAGCATACGTGTGTTTTCAAGTGATAAACAAAAATTAAAGAAGATGAAAATATGTTTTCAGAATGATGTTACAAAAAAACTTATTGTGAAATAAAGAGAAAATTTGATAAATATTAGAGATAATATTTAGTTACTCTCTACTTTTACATATATGTTTTTATGGTATATATAAAATTAAAACTATAATATTAAAATATGACTCACACAGATCAATTAGGCCGTATGATCCATTAGAAATTGAGTCTGATTCATTTTTAATAGCTCATTTAGTAATCGGGCTGATTCATTTTATTCTGTTTATATATTTTGGCTCATCGGACCGAAACAGGTTGGACCGAATCCAATCATTTGACAAGAAATTATGATGGTAGGACATGAAAAGGTTTTGGAATTGCATGGTTTATAATGTTGAGAAGTCACAATTCACAAGTGAAATAGGTTGTATTGTTAAGATTGTTGGTAATACTAACTTGATGACATGGGAAATCAAACGAAATCTCTAACAGCCCCCTATTCTCTCGCACGCTTAAAATGACCGATTTTTCTGGGCACCCTCTAGTGTTCACCATCATCTTCATCATCCAATCTCTATAATACTTACCTCTATCATTCAATTAAATCCTTCGTTTGCCCAATAATATTTTCGATTATCAATCCTTCAACTCTCATTGCAAATTCTTCGTTCATTCATCGTACGTGTTTGTTTCTTAATTCTCTTTCACATTTCACGTGAATTGTTTACCCTTTTTCTCATGTTGCATGTTATGGTTATGAATTTGTAGGATGGGGAGGGTGAAACTAAAGATAAAGAGGTTGGAGAACACAAATGGTCGACAATCAACCTATGCAAAAAGGAAAAATGGAATAATGAAGAAAGCTAGTGAATTATCTATATTATGTGATATAGATATTATACTTCTCATGTTTTCTCCAGGTGGAAAACCTTCATTATGCACCGGGAGACGCAGGTAAATAACATGTAACATGCATGCACTTCTTATAGACATGTCAGGTGTTTGACACATGTCCGTTATGTTCAATTATGAGTGTCTCTGTATCAATATTGTATCTGAATATCATTAGTTGTCTAATTATTATGTCTTCACATTGATTAATGTAGCAACTTTGAGGACGTAATGACAAAGTTTTCTCAACTAACCTCACAAGAAAGGGCAAAGAGGTGCAGTGCTTAAAAAGACAAATTATTTAAGCATATTTATCATCACGTTAGTATAAGAATTTGATAAATTTTCTTCAATTGTATTGTAACAGGAAATTGGAGAGTCTTGAAGTAAGTCCTTTTCTTTTGAATGGTTTGAAAGCATAAGTTATTTCTTCATACTCATTCTTAGAAATGATCTTTTGTTGAGAGTTCAGGCACTAAAGAAAACATTTAAGAAGTTAGATCATGACGTGGTTATTCAAGACTTTTATGGTACAAGGTATGCCTGCTGCAACTCATTTAACAATACCTCATCAATACCAATGTTTTTTAAAATTTTATCGAACCGGTTTGTTCAACTGGTTGAACCAAAAGAGAGTTTGTATATTAGTTTCTTTTTGATTGTTTTATTTACTAAGTTGAGACTGAAATATTCGTTTTTTTTGTTACAGTAGTCAAACTGTTGAGGTAAGCATCTCTTTTACTTTCTCTTTTTCTTTTCTGTTTTCATTTTCTCTTTGAAATGTTATGTTCATCACAATTTGGATTTGAGCAGGATTTGAGCGATCAAGCTAAGGTATTACATAACCGTATCTCCCAAATACACGAGCGACTAAGGTTGTTTTTGTTTTCATATCTGTATAATCTATCGTTTCGTGTTAATAACTAAATTATATAACGAAATGTCCTAATCAATATCCTATAGTTGCAAGAATTTTAAGAACATGTTTTTGTTGTTGGATTTTGCAGACATTGGAGTGACATTGAGAAAATTAGTGGTGTGGATGAATTGGGACAGATGGAAAATTCACTCAAAGAGTCTCTTAATCAAATTCAAACTCACAAGGTATTCAAAAGATTTTTTCAATGATTAAGTTGATTATGGATTAACTCTGCATTTGAATTTGAAAAGCAGCATTTGAATTATTGATTAAGTCTCCATAATTTGATAGGAAAATGTACAAAAACAACAACTAGCATCACTTCAATGCAATAACCAGGTAAATAACTGTCATGATATTTAAATTTTCCCTCTTTTTTAAAGCATGTTCTAAATTCTAATGATATAGAAATAGAAAGCACTTCTGACATGTCTCTATCTTGTAGTTCAATGAATTGCATGTTCCCTATAAAATGAGTGCTCAACAGCAATTTCAATCTCTACCATGGATGGTTAATGGTGACAGTCAGAATATAGTACTTCCTGAAGAACCAAACTTGCTTCTCCACAAGTAAGTTGTTTTTCATTGATGTTGAATTTTGTGGGACCGGTCGGTTTGTAGAGTGAGGATTATCCCCACTTATATGCAAAAATGTTCAGGGTATATATCGTCTGATTTAGGACTCTTAACCACCCTCTCACTATGAAAATGAATGGTGGGTGGTCTAATAACACAAACTTGATAGTAGGTGACTCAATGAATCTTAAACCAAACTCTTGATATCATATTAAAAATTGTGGTTAGAACTTACTCATCCCCTATCAAACCAGCTTATAGGGTGAGAATTGTCCCCACTTATAGGCACGTGTTCAGGTCATATATTGTTCGATATGAGATTCTTAACACATCCCTTCACGTCCAGGACAAGACATCTGGAGCGTAGAAATAAATGGTAAGTAGTCCAATAGCAAAAACCTAATAACAGGTGGTCCAACGGATACCATGTTTAAAATTTTGGTTAAAAATTGAGGTTGAACATTATTCATCCCTACAAAGAATTGTCCCTCTCATAAACACATGTTCAGACCATATATTATCCGGTGTAATTCTCATTTAAAATATTTCTGCTAAAACAGATGCAAAAAATATCATAGTGGAACTGATGAATGATGTAATTAACACATGATACCATTCATTTGTTGCCTCTAACTCTACTAATCCAACTTATTTTCCTTTCTATATTTTAGAGATGTAGAGGGCTCAACAAGCTCATCATTTGGAAGCTATGCAAGCTATCTTGGCTCAAACACCAAACCAAACATATCCAATTCCAGTCAAGAAAATTGTGTTCTTAGTGACATGAGCAACAATCCTACAGCACCTCCTGTGAGATTACCATTTAATGGACAGTTTTCATACCTTCCAAACAATTTCAACATAATGAATGATATGAAGCTTCAACCAGCTACAACAGGGATGAATAATAATAATCCACATGAAAACCAAGTAGATAATTATCATGTCAATGGAAACTTTGAAGCACCTAAACAAGGGTTTGATCAATCTAACCACCATGGTTGGACTTCAAATTCTGGTCCTTGTGCTGTTAATATCTTTGATGAAAATTTGTATCCACAGCCAAATTTTCCACAAGTGCATTTTGGCTTCACATAAAGCTTTTCTTTTTCCTTTTGTTTCCTTGCTTTTTGGTATATTCCTGCATGATTTCCTTCTGCATTGTTGCACTTTTTGATAGCATATTAGAACTGTAAGTAACTTACAATAGAGAGAATTCCACATTGTAATCGCAAAGTATATACTTATTCTTCCAAAATCTTTAATAACAGAACTTCGAGTTATTATTTACTTTAATATCTCAATCTACAACAACTTGACTAGTTGATTTTTGGTGAAAACAGAACTTATCCGCGTCACTCCTTAGAAAATTTTCGAACAATACTCAGAAATATCGAGTAGCATAAGATATTGATGCCCTTGATGCGGAAACCATATTCACTTGTCATTTACCAAAAATAACATGATAGTTAAGTTGTATTACACCGCGTATATAACGAATTAGTATTTGTTGCCAAGGCACATATTATCCATCGAGTTCGAGAATATAATTTTCAATTCTCATAATATTTATAAATCTGCTTTATTGAATTATAGTTCCTTTGATACCAAATAGTCATATACTAATTTTATCACTTACTATTCTCATTTTGGATTCTCACAACATCAAGGCATGATTTCCCTAGTAGCTGCGCGAAAAGAATGCTTGTTTTGAACAATGCAGGCTTTTCAGGAGTAACAAGACTTGGTGTTGGACCTATAACTTTGCTCATTTGGGGCCTCTGTGAAATGCAGCAATAGAAATCCTCGCTTTCTTTGAGTTAACTTGTTAATGTTCAGATAACAGAAGTAACAGGAAAATAGCCAAGATCCATTAAAGAAGAAAATCCAAGAGGAAGTTCTATTATGAAACAGTAAGGAGAAAAAGGATGAATCTTGCATTGATTTCTTATCCATAGAAAATGGATACTTATATACATTTTGTATAAAGAATGAATGGATAGAAAATAATACACGTGACAATCATCTATTGCAACAAACTAAAAAGGAAAAAGAATATCTATATATATACACTAATATCCCCCCTCAAGTTGGGCAGTGGATAGTACAAACTCCCAACTTGTTCAAATTGAGCTTCAAAGATGGTGAATGAAGGGGCTTAGTGAAAATGTCTGCTAATTGGTCATGAGTGGAAATAGGGAGGAGATGAATGAGTTTTGAATTGATCTTCTCACGTATTACATGACAATCTATCTCAATATGTTTACTACGTTCATGGAATGTCGGATTATGCGCCAAGTAAATGGCAGATTTACTATCACAAAACACAGAAGCAGGTTGATCAAACTGAACTAGTAAGTCTTGGAATAAAAAATGCAGCCACTGAATTTCACAAGTAATAGATGCTAGCGCACGATACTCTGCTTCGGTGGAAGATCTTGAAATTGTGTGTTGCTTCTTCGATTTCCAGCATAAAAGAGATGAGCCTAACATAACACAATATTCAGTGACAGATTTCCTGGTATCAGGGCACCTAGCCCAGTCAGAATCAGCAAAGCCAAACAGCTGCAGTTTGCTAACAGATGAGAAAAGAATGCCTTTAGCAGGAACTGCCTTTAGATACCTGAGAATTTGTAGTGCAGCCTGATAATGAGGAGTGCGAGGTTTTGACACATACTGACTCAGATGTTGTACTGCAAAGCAAATGTCAGGTCGTGAATTAGCTCTAGGAGCAAACTTATGCTTGTGGTTCTGCAATGTGGTGGCATAGCTCAAACAACCAAAGACTTTTAAATGAATGAGAATGGGAGGAGTTTGATATAACAACTCATAAGGACTCTTGAATTTTAGTAAAGGAGTAGGCAATCTATTTATGAGGTGTATGACATGTTGGATACAGAAATTCCACATATTCAGAGGGACTGAGGAATGAAAGAAAAGAGTTCTAGCCACATTCAATATATGTTGGTGTTTCCTCTCTACTACCCCGTTTTGCTGGGGTGTTTCAACACAGGACTTTTGATGGATGATACCTTTAGATAAGAAGAAATCATTAAGGGCAATAAACTCACTCCCATTGTCAGATCTAAGGCATCTTAAGGATGTTTTGAATTGAGTCTCAACATGTGCTATAAACTGTATTAAACTTGGTTTAGTTAGATCCTTGGATTTGAGAAATATAGTCCATGTATATCTAGAATAATCATCTACCAAAGTCAAAAAATACCTATGGCCCAAAATAGAGGTGGTAGCAAATGGCCCCCACAAATCAGCATGAACAATTTCAAAGGGAAAAGATGAAGCAGTAATACTGTGAGAAAAAGGTAATTTCTTTTGTTTACCAAAGTGACAAGAATCACACGGAATGTTATTATGTACATAAGGGATAAAGGGAAAAACTTTGGAAATATGCTTCAAACCATCATTAGAAATGTGGCCTAGTCTTAGGTGCCAAAGATTACAAGAAGATGTCAATTTAGCATGGAGAGCTTGTGACTGAGGAGTAGCATCAAGCACATAAAGTCCTCTTTGTAGATTAGCTATACCAATCACTGCCTTGGAACGGTTCTGCAGAATTTCACAAGAGTTAGCAGTGAAGTTAACATGACAATCATTGCTATTAACAAGTCTAGCAATTGAAAGTAAGTTAACATGGAAGGTTGGGATGTAGAGCACATTGTGAAGAGTAAGGGTAGGAGACAAAACTATGCTACCAGACATGGAAGCAACTACTTGAGATCCATTAGGTAAACTAACATGGACAGGTACTATGGCTTTATGTGAACTAAAGGAAGACAAATCATGGGAAATGTGATCTGTGGCACCAGTGTCAAATATCCATAGATTAAGGTTCTTACCATGTTCATTAGAGGCATGAGAATTTAGGACAAAGGGTGAGGAAGAGATAGAATTGGCTTGAGGTATAGGTGCAGACTGTTGAATCAGGGCCAGAATGCTGTTGTATTGTTCTTGTGTAAAAGCATAACTTGGTCGGGATTCATCAGAACCTGCATGAATAGATGCAGCAATAGGTTGAGTTGAAGTATTTGAAGTTTGAGGCTTACCTTTCCCTTTGAATCCAGGCGGATAACCATGTTTGAGGAAGCAAGTCTCAACTGTATGATTAGTTCTCCCACAATGAGTGCATACACGACTATGTCCTCTAGCTCCACCCTGTGGCTTGCCTCGGAAAGGTTGACCCATCTTGCCATTAGAGTGTCCTGAATAAGAGTTGGAGGTTTGAAAAGCAGTCACTTCTTCATTTGTTGAAGCATTAGGAACAATCATGGAAGACCCTGCATAGTTCATCTCTCTTTCTTGATGAATCACTAGTGAAAAGGCCTTGTCAATGGTAGGAAGGGGCTGCATCATCATAATCTGTGATTTTGAGTGAGCAAACTTCTCATTTAATCCCTTAAGAAAGCGGATAACATAATCTTGCTCTCTATACTTTCGAATCGAATCAATAGCACCACAAGAACACAGAATGGCACATGAACAAGCTGGTACAGGTCTATAGTTTTCCAATTCATCCCACATAACCTTCAATTGAGTGAAATAATTGGAAACATCAAGAGAACCTTGACGAAATCTGTACAAATCTTCTTGAATATCTGAAATGCGGAAAATATCACCTTGCGAAAAACAGAGTTGCAGATTCTTCCATACTCCAGTTGCGCTTTCAATCCACAACACAGATTTGGCAATGGAGTCGGAAATTGAGCGGTGAATCCATGCTAGAACCATTGTATTACATCGAATCCATGGAGCATATAACAGATCAGAAACATGAGGTTTTGTGAGCGTGTCGTCGATGAATTTCTCCTTGTTCTTGGAAATCAATGCAATGTGCATCGATCTTGCCCAAGTATGGTAGTTTTTACCGTCGAGCAGAGGTGAAACAAGAACGAGTGAAGGATTTTCATTGGGATGTAGGTAATATGGATTCGATGAATTGGTGGAAAAATCGGTGAAGCTCTGGTTAGCCATGGAGAAAAAAAGTAATCAAGAATGTGCAGACTTGTAAAGAACGAATCTGCTACCAAGAGAAAGAAAAGGGGACGATGGCTACCAGAGCTATGAAAGCTCTGATACCATGTTAATGTTCAGATAACAGAAGTAACAGGAAAATATCCAAGATCCATTAAAGAAGAAAATCCAAGAGGAAGTTCTGTTATAAAACAGTAAGGAGAAAAAGGATGAATCTTGCATTGATTTCTTATCCATAGAAAATGGATACTTATAGACATTTTGTATAAAGAATGAATGGATAGAAAATAATACACGTGGCAATCATCTATTGCAACAAACTAAAAAGGAAAAAGAATATCTATATATATACACTAATATAACTGTAACTCAATGTTCGATACTCCGATAAATTCCATTTGTCATAATCTATATCTCGAAAAGACTAAACCACTTATATACACGGCTGAGCATCCTATACTAATCGAGTTGGGACTATGAGACCCAATAATATCGAAATCTCTATCAGATTCTTATACACTTATAAGAACACTTAAAAGGGTAAAACAATAAGAGGCTATATATGACTAATTTTCTATCAATTACCTCTAAAATGTCTCCGACGTTTACGACATAAGCATTGGTGAGTGGTGGTGCAATAGAAATCCACTGTCCATCTTTTCTAATTTGGAGACCTTCAATGTCATTGGCTTGGAGAAGGATTGTTAAGGCCTCAGCATCAGAATGAGGATTCAGTCCAATGACATTTTCAGGTTGAGGGCAAGGAGGGTAGAAATTCATCCTCATTGATTGATTTATGTTTTCAAACAACTCTAGCATTTCATTTGGTTCAACTTTAAGAGCTTTTTCCATATGCTTAATGATTGTGATACAAACTTTCTTCAACTCTAAACAATAGGTCTCTAAATCATCTCTGCAATGTGAAACAAAATTTGTTAGGGAATATAGTTCTAATCACTCAAGTACTCTATAATATCGACACTTCTAAAAAATAGGTGTGTTCGTGTAAGCGTCTCTGACCGAAACCTACACTGACACTTATGGTGAGAAAAAGGATTGACAACACTATGGCAGACGAACAAAAATGAAGCGAGAAAAAGCTATAAAACCTGAATGGTTGGGGAATATTAGGAAATAAGCGAAGACTTCTTGCGGACGAAGCAAGAGTCGGCATGAAGAATAAATCTGATAGAAGGGTATTACAGAATTTATATTATTAGTATTGTTATTGATAGGGGTAATAATAGAATTTGTATTATCAGTATGATTATTGGGCTTTATTTGTATTTGGGCATTTTAGTTAATGACCCATTAGTATCATTATATATTATATATGTAGTTTCTTTGACACATTTTAGGGTATGAATCCAATGAATAAAGTTTATTTTTCTTAGGTATCTTTTATTTCTTAGCTTTCTCTTGTCTTGTTAGGGTTCTAGTTTTAACACTAACAATTTATGCTTTCATCTTTGCACTCAAGTTCTTCCATGACATATCCATATTATCACTCTTTCATCCCTCCCTATGTTGCTCTATCACCATTTTATCATTTCTCCATTTCTCCTTATTGCTCTAGTGCTACAACTACACCACCTATATCATCTAATACATATCCACCACCCATAAACTCATACCATTCATGTTCAAGCTACCCTAACTACCAACCCCGACCTCAAGATTTCTTCTCACAACCCGAAACACTTCACCATCTTGAAATTCTAAAACAATATATAACCGAAACTCATGAGATCTCAAACAAAAATAGAGAAGATTTGAAGAAAAAAATTCAGAATTTGAGTTATTCTTTCAAAACTTCATCACAAAAATTCTCTCAAGAGTTTTCAGATTCACAACTGAAACGCGGAGAACAATTACAAAAGTGTATTCTTGAAAACAAACAAGAACAACAATCAGAAAAATAAAATTCCAGTTTAATTGAATGTTCTCCTATTGTTTCCTCACACATGGATCTTGGTGGGATGGACAACACTCGTAAGCCACTAGGCTTTGAGCGTAGTAGTGTTCCAACAGTACACACACAAGATACTGCTCGGTCTAGACCAGTAATCACTTGTTCCTCGTCACTCAGAAACTTTTTTTTGCTACTTGTCTCTTTCTCCGCCAATTATAATCACATCACGTGATTTCAAGTTTTGTTTACACAATACGCCAAATCAAATCAACTCAAGGTATTGGAAAATCAACCTGACCACCTTTTTTCAAGAGATGACCACTCACAACGGCCTAGTACCTGCCTCATACCACCTGTTGTACCCCAAAATTTGCCCTCCCATATTCTTCAAGATTTACCAAAAGCATGCTTCAAAATATCCCAAGGGTTGCACAGTTCAAGGGCCTCCTAACAGTCAAAAACTAGGGTTTTGAGTCTGACAAAGAAATTGAAATTTCCAAGGGTCCAAACAAGTCCCACATGCCTATAAACATTGTTAAGCATCCTTATGTCAAGTTTCAAGACTTACAGCACAAAATTGCACAGTCAAAAACCCTAATTGCCCTACAGTCAACTGTAGGGGCAAAATGGTCATTTGACAGTCAAAAGTTCAAATTTTTGGTCAACATATTTTTTTGAAGCCACAAACATCATTTGATCAAATCTTGATCATGATTTTCAAGGTATGGCTCAAAAAGTCTCAAGAGGCAAAAGTTTCCATATTTGGACAGTTGAAAAAGTCAACTGTAACTTGACCAAGGCATAACTTCCACATGGTTTATCAGAAAAATTCCATCCAAAGCTCATTTTGAAGAGAAAGACATTTCCTACAACTCCTCTTCACACTTCAAGTCCAAGAAATGCTCTCACAAAACATTATCAATTTCAACATTATAGGTCATTTTCAAAAGTCAACAAAAAGGGACTTTAAGTCAAAGACCATAACTTGAGATTGGTAAATCAAAATGACATGGGACCAAAGGAATTGGTTAGAGGACTTCAAGACCTTTCAAAAATGTCCAAGAACATGGTTAAAGCTTAAAAATTGAGCAAGATATTCCTTGTGGAAGTTGGGAAATTTTTGGGAATTTTGAAAAGTCAACTTTGCTTCAAATGCCTCACAATTGCTAATGGGCCACATTTTCTTCCAAGAATCATTATCCAAAGGCTATGCATGACCATTTGACCCAAAGGGGAGTTATTTTCTTATTTTTAATTAATTAATTGAATATTTAATCTATTTAATTCATTTAATCAAAATTAATTACAAGAAAAATACTAAAATAAGGTTTTCAAATCTTTTTGTGCAGTATAATCTCTCATCAAGGCCTAAGGATTCCGTGCATGCCCAAAGAAGAAAGATTCCATGCAAATTGGCTAGGTTTCATGATAAAAAGATTGAAAAAGATTTCATTAAAAATCAAATATTTGATTCATCAATGCAAAGGGTTATGGACTCAAATTTCTACCCTAATTCGTCCCATACATATAGAGAATGCTAAACCTAATGCTAAGAACCTTGAAGCTGCGCCTGAAAACAAATACCAACTTTGCATTTTTTGTCCAAATATTCAAAACTGAAAACACAGTTAGAGGTCGTTTCAAAGCGAGATAACTATTCCAATCGCTTGCCAAGGCATCAAGGAAACTTTCTGGATCAAAACCACAGCTTTTAACCTCAAGAAATGGTAGAACGAAACCGTCCTGTTCTTAATTTTTCACATGTCCATGTTTTGAATTATACGTATCATTCATGCCTTTTTCTTGTTGTTTTGCACTAACATAAACATTCTAAAACTTTTGGCATCATTTAATTGAATTTTTATGCCCTGTACGAGAATCTGCCATTAACGCCTTCTAGGTTTTCAAAGGTCAAAAATTAGGGCTTCTTTTATGGGGAAAAATTGGCCAACAAGACTTATGCCATTAGAATCAGAAGCTTCATGAAATTCTGGCTGCAGATACTCAATGTCACGTTCAATGTTATGACACCGTATCTGTCTTACTATATGACAGTAAATACAAAAGCAATAAAGAACACAGTCAATTGTTTACCCAGTTCAGTGTGCAACAACACCTACTCTGGGGGCTACCAAGCCAGGGAGGAAATCCACTATAAGAGATGTTAATTCAGGAATAAACCAACCAGTTTATCTCCTTCACTTAAGACCTACCCAATGCAATTCCAATCTAAGTACAACTTAAACCTGAGATCCTACTCACTCCCCCTCAATCACAGCAGTGATACATAAACCAATTTGACTTAAGAATTGATGAAGACACTCTTCAAAAACAAACACTTGATTAAGCTTCACAGCTTTTTAATCAAGCAACACAATCACTCGTGCTTCACAGCTTTGAGTGATGCACACAGCTAACTTGACTCTGCTTCACAGCTTTAGTCAAGGAACATTCAAACACTCTTGCTTCAAAGCTTTGAGTGCTACACAACCCTTACAATTAGAAACCTATTCCAAGTCACTTATCACAATGATAATTGCTTGGAGTACAATAATCAAACCTATACAGATTACAAATGATCTTCTGATCAAATAAAAAGGGATGCCTTGCAAAACAGCAGCTCTGTTGAATATATAGCAGCTGCAACTTCAGTTAGGGTTTCCACAAAAACCTAGGGTTAATTCCGTTTGACCTAAAGACCAGGTCACATGAATTTATTAACCAGGTTAGGGTTGAGCTAGGTTACCCCTCAGAAAACGCAGGATTCTGTTCAGGAAAGACTGAGTTATTTTCCTGAAAAAACTCAGACTTATCCAACCTGCAAACCTGTTAGTTCAGAACAGGATGTCATAACATCTGTTATGACATCTGAGAAAACCTGTCTACTGATTTAGCAAAATGTGATCATTTTGCAAAATGCTCAGATACACACTTATAAACATCAGTACTTGAATTACAATATTTTTCTGCAAAGGTACCTAATGAGTCAGTACAAACTAAACTAGAATGTTATGACATCAGTCATGACATTCACACATACACTTGGGTTTTACCAAAAATGCAAGCCAATACCTAAACAACTACAAACTCCCCCTTTGGCAGATTTTTGGCTAAAGACCCTAACCAATCAGAGATAAATAGCAGCAGAAATAAATGACTGCAGAAAAATAGAATGTCTAATTGAGCAAGTACATATTAAGTACCAAAATATTCTCCCCCTCTTTAGCCACAAATGGGCCAAAGGTACATGTTCATAGTGATTATACAGTTATCCAAAAACAGTTAATAAGAGCAGCAGCAGAAAAAAGAACTGAACACACTTCCAAACTCCACCAGATATCAGCACCAACCAGCAACACCACCAAACAGCAACCAACCTTCAAGCACTGTCATCAGACCCAGAGGATTCGAGCTTCTTTCTTTTCTTGTGAGCAATGTCAGCATTCTTCTCTTTGTTTGATGTCTCAACATTCTTAGAGACATATGGATTTGTTTCAGCATTTGAACTTTCTTGGTTCAGAGGAACAGAAATGCCAGGAACTGAGTGGTTCTCGTTCAGAATTCTTGAAACAATTTTTGCTATTGCTTGATTAACATAGGCTGTCCCTTCCCTATTTGCAATTTCAGGGGGAACTGAAGAAGAAGGATGAGATGGATTACCAGAGGCAGAAGCTTGGGACTTTCCTGCATGTCTTGTTCTCAACTCTTTGACCTTGGTGGGCTTAGTTCCCACTTTTCTACGAGAAGAGATCTCCAGAACTTCAGAGTCCAGACAAGAAGAGATTGTCCTAGAATCTTGATCAGAGGAAGAGGTTGAAATAGTCATATTGGATGATGATGGTGTTTGAGACATTTTGACAATCCTAGAGGACCAACAGCAACTGAGGAGAAAATTCTGATTGAGAGACTGGGTTTTGATGAGGAGACGAGAGGGGAAGGAAGCAAGGGAGTGTCTATTCAACTTCTTAAAAGAATTGTAGGAAATGGGAAAATATAATTTTAACCCAATCGGAACAGGCATAACTCCTTTGATCCTTGTTTTAAGCAAAATTAATTGCTACAATTCCTCATGTTGGCAAATACCCAACTTACCCCTTAAGTTTTCAAATTGATTTGCATCCAGAGCCTTGGTAAAAATGTCAGCCAGCTGTAGCTCAGTGGCAACATGTCCCAATTTGATTGTCTTCTCTTCTACAAGGTCTCTGATAAAGTGATGTCGTATGTCAATATGTTTGGTCCTGCTATGCTGAATGGGATTCTTG